AAAAAAAAAACTTTAAAATACAAACAAGGCAAAAACTAAACAAAAAAATGAAAAAAAAGCTAACAACAAAAAAAAAAAAAAAAAAAAAAAAAAAGCAAACAAACAAAAAACAACTAAAATAATAAACCATGAATCAAGCAATAACGAGACGAAAAAGCAATTTTAAAAAAATGAAATTCTCATACTACTACTTCTACTGTTTTAACACCCGGGTCCAAAGCCATTTATACTATACGGATCCACTCCGGGTCCGAATATCGTTTTTGTCTAAAAGTACCCGGGTCCAAATAGCCGCATCCTATTTTTAAATTAAAAAAAAATGATTTCCCTTAGGTACACAAAAATATCGTTGAATTTTGTTGTTTAGGAGATATACAAAGGCAATGTCTATACAAACGTATAAATAAATCCAAAGTTATGATACATTTTTGATACATTTTTAATTTAAAATTAATAATACATTTAGATAAGCATAAGCCATTTCCAATGATGGTTTTAAAAAATTGTTTCCTGTCAGGGTGGTTCATGTTTCCTGTCAGGGTGGGTAGTGTTTCCTGTCAGGGTGGGTCATGTTTCCTGCCATGGTGGGTCATGTTTCCTGTCAAGGCGGGTAATGTTTCCTGTCAGGGCGGGTCATGTTTCCTGTCAGGGTGGGTCATGTTTCCTTTTCAGGGTGGTCATGTTTCCTGCCATGGTGGGTTATGTTTCCTGTCAGGGCGGGTTATGTTTCCTGCCATGGTGGGTCATATTTCCTGCCATGGTGGGTCATGTTTCCTGTCAGGGCGGGTCATGTTTCCTGCCATGGTAGGTCATGTTTCCTGTCAGGGCGGGTTATGTTTCCTGCCATGGTTGGTCATGTTTCCTGCCATGGTGGGTCATGTTTCCTGTCAGGGCGGGTCATGTTTCCTGTCAGGGTGGGTCATGTTTCCTGTCAGGGCGGGTCATGTTTCCTGCCATGGTGGGTCATGTTTCCTGTCAGGGCGGGTCCTGTTTTCTGCCATGGTGGGTCATGTTTACTGTCAGGGCGGGTCATGTTTCATGCCATGGTGGGTCATATTTCCTGTCAGGATGGGTCATGCTTCCTGTCAGGGTGGGTTGATCAGCAAGAAACACCAGATCAACTTGAACTATGATAAGCACAACCTAGTGCGCCCCATACATACTTTATCGGTTGCTATTCTTGAGACTTTATCCATAGTTATGAAACCTTGAGTTTTCTAATTGGCGTAGTTCACCTAACATTTTTCTATTAGCTATAATATACCAGTTATAATAATTAAGCATTGTTTCCCCTTTAACATTCAACTACCATATAGGCAACCTGGCACAAGTTTGACATGTGCCCAGCCCAGATTGCCAAAAGATTGTAGCTTATTTGGTTGTATGAGGTGCCCTGAAGTAATAAATGTCTTAATTAACTTGATGACACAATGTAGCATTATCTGAACCATCTCAGGTGTTTCAACTTTAAAAAGTGTGGTGGGGCTACACACAAAAATTAATCCATTAAAACTCCTTTTATTTTGTGCGACTCTGGCCCTAGCCGACAATGTAGGCCTGGACTGACCGGTAGAGGGCAGCAATATTGCCAGACCCGAATCCCGTAGCACCCTCCCTCTGGATGAGCTCCAAGAAAAATGGGTCGGCTTTGAAAATTGGTTTGGTGAAGATCTGAAGAAGATAGCTGGAGAGAAGTAGCAAGAGAGGCGTCATTAATCAATAGTTCTGAACAGCTTTGGTTGAGCGCTCATGTATGTATCAACACAAACCAAATGCATAGAAGCCATTGTAAAATAAAAATCAAACAAAAACAAACTGTTTTAGGTCAGTTATCGCTTCTTTATATGAATGTATAACTATGATTAAAACCCGTGGCGTAGATAGGGTTGGTGTCATCCGGTGCACTAAACTCATGGTGTCACCCCATCGTGTGATCATAATTTATCCTTCTATTCAATTTCGGTTAGACCTAGCAGAGTGTGCTCTGTAAGTAGGAAGTTTTTTCAATTCGGTGACGCCCTTGAGGTGGTGTCACCCCGGTGTGGTCCGGACCCCTCCTCCCGCACCCACCAGCTACGCCACTGATTAAACTAGTCACGTGGTTGATATAACTTTTTTTTTTCTGACCGTCCTTGGAGTTAAAATGAGTCTACTCAGAGAAAAGAAATCGCCAGCTTACCTTTCACGCTTTTCCTCATCCGCAGCCTGTGTGAGCTCATGTATCCCATCAGCCTCAGTATCTATTAATATACCATGCTCTCTGAGAGGC